CGATGATCGTTTCTATGGCTGCGAACATGTGGGATAAGTTTACCAAATACTGGGATGTATACATATGTTGTTGGTTGTGGCTGTTGTGATGGATCCGCGGTACAAACTGGATTTGGTTGGGTACTATGCTGCAAAATTTGGTATTTCAAGTACTGACCTTGTGATTGAAAGGGTCAGAGATGTTGTTGCTGACTTGGTTGTCGAGTATCAGAGGAAATCCTCTAAGAACACTGTTGTTTCTTCTACTTCTCATCCTTCTTCTTCGACCACAGATCTGGATTTTGATCTATATGTGAGCCAAAGGAAAAAAACCAGAACATCAGTGGTAACCACTGAGTTAGATCACTATTTTGCCGAGGATGTTCATCCTAGAACACCAGATTTTGATGTTCTTGGTTGGTGGAAATTCAATGGGGCCAAGTATCCCATTTTGCAAGACATTGCAAGGGATTTACTTGCTTTCCCTATTACAAGTGTGGCTTCGGAATCTGCCTTTAGTTCTGGTGGGAGGCTTCTGGACCCCCATCGGAGCAGGCTTGATCCCGTAACAGTTGAAGCCATGATGATATTGAGATTCAAGATGATAGCAAAGGTGAGTGTTTTAGATCATTCTACCGTTTTGTTGTGTTTTGCATTTCTTACTTTGTAAACTAATCAATTAATTCTTGCTTTCCCTGCCTTGTAGTGTCTACCTCGGAATTAAAAGCTCCAGAGGGGGTTTTCTAAGCTATGGCAATGGATGATGCCTCGGTGGAAGAGTGCATTGGTATCTGGTTTCTTTGTATAGCTATAACTAGTTCATTAATTTAGTTTATGCTCTTTTCTAACCATATTGCTTTGTAACAGATGGAGATGGAAGTCAATCGAAGCAGAAAGGAGATGAGATGAGGTAGCTGTTGTCATCAGCCTGCTGGACTAGCTCTAGGTTTGTCGAATGAATGGTGAATGATGGTTTGCTGCTTATGTGTTAAATTCAGAACACATTTTGAAATTCTCATATTGCAGATTCTGGTCCATAAGGCAGTAGTTAGGGAAAGAATGGTGAATGATGGTTTGTTGTTCTGCTCCGCTGTTTTGCTGTTGTTTTGTTGTTGTTCTGCTGCTGTTCTGCTGCTTCTCTACGCTGTTGTTCTGCTGCTGGAAGATGGACTTCTGCTGGAAGGTGATCTGCTGATCTGTTGCTGGATTTCTGAACTATGTTGGCTTTGTTTGTCTGCTGCTATGCTTTCCTTAGCTAGTCTAAGAACATCGTGGATTGCTTTGTTTAATTGTTTTCTTTGTTAGCTCGGATTTATTATTGTTAGCTGAGATAAACAGGTTTCACTTCTTAGTTCAACTATTATCATTGTTATATTTCTGGATTTAAGACAAAGTCACGGTTTGCAAGTTCATGGTTAAAGGTTGAATGTACATTACAAACCACTACCAACAATGCAAATGAATAACACTTACATTATAAATCAGAGAAATTTTCAATACAAACCATCATTTTTTTTATTACAAACCATAATGGGCTTACTTAACTTACAAAGTAGTACATTACAAATCATAATCTTTCACCATAAAAATGAATGTATAACTTACATCATACCGTTTTTCTCTTCAAGATACTTCTTTTCTATTTCTCAAGAAAATTTATCTCTCTATGGAACTTCTTCTCTTTCTCTCCTATTGCAAACTAGACTGATTTACATTACAAATAATGATTATTTGTAGTATTAACCAATAAGACTTACATTAAAACATAGAATTAGGAATGACAATGGGCAGGTCCGGGCCCTATACCCACCCCATGGTAGGTCGGGTCCAGGTCAGGTAATTAATTACGAGGTGCGGGTCGGGGCAGTTCGACCCAATGGGTATGTAATTTATGTGAAAAATATTAGAAATATTCGTTATTTTCATTAAAAGACCAAAAAAGAAACCATAATATGATAAAATTTTGTTAAATTATTGAAGAAATTGAGGTTTTCACTCAATTACAACTTTATTTTAGCTAAAATATAATTTAATAAGAGGAAAATCCTAAGTAATTTGACTAAAATTGTATGTAATTTAGACAAAAATGGGTCGAGAATGGGGTGAGTCATGGCAGGTCGGGTCGATAAGAGGTACTCATGCCCGCCCCCACCTACGGGACGGGTCTGACCCGCCCCAAAACAGGCCAAACAAATCGGATAAATCGGGTCAGGTCAAAATTGTCCTCCTCTGTTTCTCTTTACTGAACTTCTCTCTTCTCAAATTGTTTCTCTCTCTAGTCTACGAAATATCTTCTCACTCTCTGTTACAACTTACAAGTGGAGAATGGAAACGAAATCTCTAGAAAATAAAATAAAAACTAAAATAGAAAGTATTGTAATTATCATTCTACTCCCAACTTAAATGGACTAACTCAATTTATTGAATTAAGATAAAAACGAAAGGCTAAAGTGGACCTAGCCAAATTATTGTTCAACGGCATAAAAAAAGGATAAATTTTCTCTATTTGCAAGCCCAGTCCGTCTATCTTCCGTTGAGCCTGTTTGTTGATCCGAAATTGTCGGTGTTCTTGATTCCAGAAGGCACTCTGAAGGAAGTTCAGCGAATGATATCCAATTTCTGGTGGGGGCAAAAAGGAAAAGAAACCAAAATTCACTGGATAAAGTGGGAAGAACTCTGTGATGACAAAGAAGTCGGAGGATTGGGGTTCAGAGACCTTCGTGCTTTCAACTATGCTATGCTTGGTAAGCAGGTTTGGAGAATTATGGAAAATCCAGAATCCTTAATGGCTAGGACCCTGAAAGCCAGATACTTTCTGAAAACAGACATTCTTAATGCTAAAGAGGGTTATAGACCTAGTTTTATATGGAAGAGTATAATTGCTGCTAAAAATAAGGTGGAAGAGGGCTTCAGGTGGAGAGTGAGGGATGGAAGGTCTATCCGGGTTTGGGAGGACCCGTGGATTCCAGGAAAAAGTTTCTACCATGCTGATCCACACCCTTTCCCTATGGACCAGGGCGAATTGGTTTGCTCCTTAATTAATCAGGGAAGGGGAGAATGAGATAAGGATAAACTTTAGGAAAGGTTCTCTAGCAGCGACTGTGATCTTATATCCAGAATCCCTATCAGACTCCCTCTAACAAGGGACAGAATGGTCTGGGTGGAGACGGATAATGGTGTCTATTCGGTTAAAACGGCCTATTGGAGGAATAGGGAACAAACTTGTGATTTGCGGGCTAGAGATTATTTTCCCTCGCCCGAGGATTCGGAATTCTGGAAACAACTTTGGAAACTTCAGGTTCCGCCAAAAGTGCGAATTTTTCGTTGGAAAGCTGGGAGAAATATCTTACCTGTGGGATGCCACATCGAGGAGTGGATCGACGATGCTTGTACGGAATGCCCTTTCTGCGGTCTCCCGGAGAATCAACCCCACGCCTTACGAGATTGCAGTTGGGTCAGGGGTAGATGGAAGACATGGGAAGAGAAAGAAATATATGAGATTGGAGAAGGGAAATTTTGCATTGAATGGTTCAAATCGGTCTGGAAACAGTTTGATCAAGGAAAAATCCAACGATTCTGTGTAATTATATGGTACCTGCGGAAGGAACAGTGCAATCAGCTCAATAACAACACCAAATTGTCTGAGGACGAGATCATCCCTAGGGCGTTGGCCTGGCTTCGGCTTTCCTTGATGCGCACAGCACTGGGGAGGCGCCGTCCCCGACGGGCTATAGGGAACTAGCAGTGGAAGGATGGCGGCCACCGGCTGAGGGTGTATTCAAATTAAACTCGGATGCTGGGCTCTTGAAGCCAACAGGGGTCAGGATGGGCTGCATCATTAGAGATTGGAAGGGGGATTTCAAAGGGGCTTGTGCGTTGAAGAAGAAGGGTGTGTGCAGGCCAATTGAGGCTGAAGCAAGAGCTATAGCATTGGGGTTACGAGAAGCTAATCGAAGGGAGCTCAGCCCCCTCATTGTGGAGTCGGATTGCCAGGTGCTGATCAGTAAATTGATCAAGAAGGATGGGGATAGGACGGAGGTGGGTTTTTGGTGTGAGGAAATCTGGAGATTGGCGTTGGTGAATGAGAGTCTCTCTGGTGATCCGGTGAGATGGGGCTTTGTTCCCCGCAAGAACAATACCATCGCTCACTGGTTGGCTCATTCGGTAGGTAGATGGGATAACCTTCTTGTTTGGGTGGATAATCCTCCGCTGTCTATCTTGTGTCTTTTGGAAGCGGATTTGGGCCGGGCTGGGGCAACTATAATGGAGAGCAGGCCTTAATTTAATGAATTCAGATTCCCGTCAAAAAAATTGTCGAACTTGGTCAGTAGCACTACATCTCTAATCCGAGAAATTGTACAATGCTATATAGTATTGGTGCTCGCTATGAGAAATTTTACAATGCTATATAGTATTGGTGCTATAGGTTTTTGCCTTTATGGTACAACTTAAAATTGTACATTTACGTTATGGTACAACTTCAGATTGTACCTATACTTTTTGTACAAATTCTTTTATGGTACAACTTGAACTTGTACCTTTATGTGATGGTACAACTTCAAGTTGTAAAGTTGTTCCATAACATAAGGGCACAAATTGCTTTATGGTACAACCTAAACTTATACATTTAATGTTATGCTACAACTTTAAATTGTACATTAAAGCACCAATACTATATAGCATAGTAGAAGTGCTCGTGGTGCTATTGGTTTTTGCTTTTCTGGTACAATTTAAAATTGTACATTTACGTTATGGTACAACTACAGATTGTACCTATACTTTTTGTACAAATTCTTTTATGGTACAACTTGAACTTGTACCTTTATGTGATGGTACAATTTCAAAATGTAAAGTTGTACCATAACATAATGTCACAAATTGCTTTATGGTACAACCTAAACTTATACATTTAATGTTATGGTACAACTTTGAATTGTACATTAAAGCACCAATGCTATATAGCATAGTAGAAGTGTTCCTCTAATCCAATTACAATACTTCATCAAAATTAATAATGCAATCGTAAATCGTTCTACTTCTCTCATCTCCGTCTTCTGCAACCCAACGCACGTCGGTCCTTCGTCACTCTTCATTGCGCAGGAGCTCGGTCAGGCGATTCGTACAGGTAAGACGTGTTTCTTCTTCGGATCTTTTTGCTCATTATGATTATGATTATTATTTTAGTTTCTTACTGAGAACAGATTGAGCTGACAGAATCTAGAACTAGGATTTGGGATTTGGAGTGAAAAAGTAACAGAAAGATTATGGCCGCCGAGATATGAAAATTTACTTCGGAATCTCTCACCGGGCATCTTTCCTTCCTTACCGAATGGTGGTGTTTGTTTGTAGGGTTTTGTTGTTGTTTGTTTAGATGGAAGAAGCAGAGGAGGGCAATGCAGCAGGGGAAACAAAGAAGAGCAGAGGAGGAGGAGGCTCTTGTAACCGCTGTATGATTAATGATGTTGGGGAAGAGTTGTTGACCGACATTCTGATACGTCTCCCTCTGGATCAGATCTACCGCTGCAAATCCGTCTGCAAACACTGGCTGTCTCTCATTCAAAGCCCTCTCTTTCGTGCTGACTACTCGAGGAAGAAGCAGAAGCAGAATCAGAATCAGAAGAAGAAGAAGCAGAGTATTAAGCTGAGCTGCATCGGCCTCCACCCGCACCCCCAGCAAAACTCACCGGTCCTGATCGCGAATAACGAATACGACCACAACGATGACGTGAGGAAGAGGCTCGAATTCTCGCTTGATTTCGTACCGGATTTGCCACAATTACACGGAGCCGACGTTTACAATCAGATCCTCCAACAAGCAGCTGATGACAAGAAGAATTACGCCAAGGAGAAGCAGATGTATTCATGGCTATCCGCTCAACGAGCCATGCTCAATGCAATACCAGACGTCGAAAGTAAGAAGAAGCGGATCCAGGAAATACTCAATTCACGACGGTGGCCTAAGAAGAAGCGTTACTACTCCAACAGGGACTTCATTCTAGGTTCATCCAATGGCTTGCTCCTCTGCGCCCCACTGCTGTTCACGCCAAAGTACACGGGATTCTTTATGTACACCGACCCGGTGTTCGACGATTTTCCAGCCAGTTATGTGGTCTGCAACCCTTACACCAAGCAGTGGATTCAAGTCCCGCCGCCGCCTCCCTCCTCCTCCATTACGCCTCATGCTGCTGCCAACGTCGGTTTTGTCTCCGATTTCGATTCGATGGACCGAGGCGGTGGCTGTTGGTTTAAGATCGCTCGTCTCCCCCTCGACTTGGAGTCTCTACGCGGACGCTCCTTCGAGCTGCAAGTCTTCTCGTCTCACTCCTGGGAGTGGACGACCCTTACATCCCCGTCTCTCCCACGGCTCAGGACCGCTACATTGCCCTCTCTCCCATGGCCCATTTGGGTGAACAATTCAGAGCGGATCGTTGTTGCAGTAACGTTGAAGAAGAAGAAGAAGAATGGCGGCGGGCCTCGTCTGTGTTGGATGGTCAACAGGTGCCGGGCGATTGTATATGATCCCATCAAGAATGTGGTTGATGTTGTGATTGGGGTGATGCAGCAGCCACCGGATCGTGGTCTGGTTCACGGGGTGGTGGTTTTCGACGCGATGTGCGTTAGCAGAGGCTGCTTGTGGGCAGGGAGCCTTCGTTGTCAAACGGTGCTCAAGATTTTTAGAGCATCAGGGAAGAAATGGGAGATGGTGGAAGAGTTTGATGTTCAGCAGGTTTGCAAACAGGGGGCATTTACTTACACATTCATGACTATGAATCCCGACGATCCACAGCAGGTGTACCTCAGAAATTGGAAGTCGGTTTTCCTGTTGAACCTAAGGACCAAAACCTTGAAGGTGGTTGCAACTCTGGAGAACCTAACTAATGGCTTGATCGAAAGGTTGACAATAGTCTGTGAAAACCCACTATGGCCAACTCCACTTCCTTCTCCCATCCTTTCCCCTTCTTCTTAATGGCTCTTACTCTGCCCCTCCAATTTGAGCAGTAAGTAAGTAAATTCCTACAACTTTTAGCATTTCAGGTTTTGTTGGCATGAGTCGATTCTCATAAACAAATTGCATTTGCTACTCTGTCAAGGGGTTTAGTGTTCAATTCAAGTTGTACTTTAATTTGTTTAATATCTTGCCTATAGCATTTGTTATGTTTGTTTTGAATCTTAGGCTAATTCCAGTTAAATACCCCAGCCATAAAAGAACGCCATTTCTATTCTCAATTATGCAATATGACTATCCTGATATGAATAAGCATACAACCTACAGATGCAGAGGTAGCAAGTAGGGTTGTACCTTTCATATGGACAAGCTTCAATAATTCGATCATCAAATAAAAGTATCATAATTATCATCTCAAACCATTGTCAGTGAGCCATTTCACTTATGCACACCAATCTTTCAGGTCCAAAACTAGTGGCATTTTGTCACAACTACAAGTAATTTTTCTGGTTTTTATCATGCTACTAGACATGCTTCGGTTTAATTCTCATGGATGCAATATGATCGTCTACCTATTGCCACCACATTTTAAAATAATCAAGACTCAATTTGATAGGATTGTCATGCTCCAGGGGGAGTTTTTTCTATAGGAGCTCCAAGGGGAGTTTTAAGGTAGTATCAATTAAGTGGTCTATCATCATTATCTGGAATTGTTATATCCAAAGTCAAATTGCTCAAAGCTAAACTACCTAATTTGTTTATTTGAGTTTACAAATCAAGGGTTTTGGAGGTCATTTTACATCATTTCAAGCACTCCCCCCCCCCCCCCCCCCCCCCCAACTTCATTTCACACCAATCTACCTGAAAATCACTGTCAATACCTACATTTTGATAGAAAAATATGCTTTCCAAGAATTTCGATCTTTTAAGGCATGACAACAAGGTTGTTGGATATTTTTTGCACCTTCTAAATGTTCTATTTAGTATCTCAAGATAGGGATGCCAATGGGTCGGGGCGGGGCGGGGCGGATAGTGCATATCCGTTACCCTAGTCAAAGTAGTTCGGGTTTTACTCATACTTATACCCACATGTGAAACGGATAGAAAATCTAAACCATCCCCATACCCGTTCGGGTTTTGGGTATCCACGGTTATCCATGGATAATAATTTCTATTCATAACTCCAACCAATATGTTGAAATTCACATGTATTCTCATATTACGTAAGAAGAAAAGTACGACAATAATTCCATGGATAAGCAAGTACGGTCATATTTTTCATACGGAGGAGCTTGAATAGCTCGATCATCAAATAACAACATCATTATCATCTCCATCGAAATTCTCATCTAATTTGTTTAATATATGTCTGTTTAGGTTACCTTATGTTCATATTTTTTTTAGTCTTTCTTATTAAACTTTTAGTTGTGGCATACAAAAATGGCCAATTCCAACTCTAGTAGTGTCATGTTCCCAACTTTAGTAGTGTCATGTTTAGACAATATTTATATGACAACTCTATTAACAATAATCACTCTTTTTATTTTTCGTCTAGCCAAACCATTATTTGTGAGCCATTTCACTTAATAGTTAATACACACCGATCTTTGGGGTCTGAATCTAGTGGCATCCCGTCATGATTACAAGTATTTGTTTCCTAGTTTTTATCATGCTACTAGATATACTTGGGTTTATTTATTATGGGTGCGATCTGCACGTCTACCTAATGCCACCACATTTTTAAAATAATCAAGACTCAATTTGATAGGACATTTCGTGTAGTTTGTTATAATCCAGGGGTAGAATTTAGCTCTATTCGTCTTCAAAACCTTTATAAATCTCTGAGCATTCTAACAAAAAGATCATGCCTTGGTATTTCACCACAAACGAGCTAGTTGACCGCAAAAATAGGCATGTCCTAGAGGTTACTCAAGCTTTATTATTAGCATCTCATGTTCCCTCCCACTTATGGCTAGAGGTTGTCTCAATTGTTGCCAGACTAATTAATAATCATATTACACCGTTTTGGATCATACTAGTTCGAAACACCCACCTTATTCTCGTTTTCGTGTTTTTAGCTGCCTCTATTTTTAACTTTCAATCGTGTTTTAAACATACTAAGCTCACTCTTAAAATGGTATGTTATGTGTTCCTTGGTTATAGTGACATTCATAAGTGTTATCTTTGCTTTCATGCAATTTTTAGGTGACTTCGTGTAGCCTGTAATGTTGTATTTTTTTAGAATCTTATGTGTAATACACTTCTTCTCCCAAGCCATTTCTTCTATTCGATGTTTCCATTGGCTTACCTCCATTTATAGAATGGTGATGTTGTTGAAAATGACATGATAATATAACACTTGGGGGTTGTTTGGATCAGAATTCGCAGTTAAGGATCAATTCCCAAAGATTGGATTGAACTCGGCTAAGAACACACCAAAAACAGGGCAGAATTTGGGTGTTGGGATGGTAACTTTTCGTGCAACTTTCGCGAAGGGAAAGAGGCTCAATTAGTGTAGTAAATGATTGGCCACAAACAGGGTGATAACCTTAACGATACAAGCTTAGAAACAACCCTAGAATCCACTAGGATGTTAACTCAATTCACGCAGCAAGAAGATTATGAACCAAAACTATCGGTTTGTATTCAATAGGGTAAAAACTAACGATTACAATGAAAAACTCGACTTAAATAGATCCTAACAACGTCTATCAACTCATAAGGAAGTTCTATGTACAATACAACTCGAAATGGAACTCAAAACCAACAATTAAATGAAATCCGAATGCAACAAGGAAAAGCATAATGTCTTGGGATGCAAGTCAAAGTCAGACTTCGTACGATATTTTGGTTCTTAGTTCGAAGCTTTCCAAGGATCAAATCGATCAGCCAATTCCTTGCCTTTGTATTCAATGGGGTAAAAACTAACGATTATAATGAAAAACTCGACTTAAATAGATCCTAACTACGTCTATAAATTCATAAGGAAGTTCTAAGTACAATACAACTCGAATTGGAACTAAAAACCAACAATTAAATGGCATCCGAATGCAACAAGGAAAAGCATAATCTCTTGGGATGCAAGGCAAAACTCAGGCTTCATACGATCTTTGGGTTCTTTGTCAAAGCCTTCCAAGGATCAAATCGATTAGCCAATTCCTTGCCTTTGTAGTCGAAAACCTGTAGTTTGATGTGGCACGAAGATCTGGACTCGACTCTCACCCATTTGTCTTAAATAGGCCTTCAAAATTGGGTTATCAAACTGTCTCCAAGACTTACCATTTTCAGGCGGACTCCTTGAATTGAGGTAGCATTTTGGGAAGCTTGTAAAATGGTTTTAATGGCTTCATTCTGACCTTCCAATCATTCCATCATGTAGATAAACTCTTTATCTTCACTCCCAAACTTTCCTTTCGAGTTTCCATTGAGCTATTTGAGAGAACCAGGCTTGCAAAGTTGGTTACCTGAAACAGTTAAAAGACTTGGCCAAAAATGAGTGTTCTTCTTTCCACTTGAGATAGCTTCTTGGTTAAGTAATTATGGGTTGTAGAATGAGCAATCTGGGATTATATCATATGACCTCACAGTCCACTACCCCCTTCATACTCGCCTCGGTTACCGGCTTCGTCTCCATCAAATTCCTTTCTTGTTGGACTAGTTGTACAAGCACAACAGCCTATCGATGCCCTTCCTCTTGCTCGACTGTGCCGCTTTTAGCTAACTATATTTGTCCAACCACTTACCAATAATTGGGACTAGGTTCTCTATTAGGCTAATCTCATTCCTATTCCAACTCGCTTATCTCAACCTCAAGGAAATCCCAATTGGGAATACGGCATGAAGGAGGTATTTGATGCGCTCCATGCCAATCATGCACGAGTCTTAGTTCTTTGATGGCTATGTAATATGCGACCAAAGCAATACCCAGAAAGTTAGACCCTTTAGAGTCATTTATTCCCTAGGGCTCCCTCACTTTAGCAATGATGATCCTTGTCACAACCTCAGTAGTTAGTGATGAGACTCTGGTGTAGAATGTAGTGGCATCTGGGGCTATTACTCAAGCTCACATTGCCACCCAGTCCAATGGTAGCAAAGCAATTATTGATGATGAGGGGTTTCATTTGGTGGTTAGGAAAGGCAAGGCTGTCGATATGGGTTATGATTTGAAATTTAAGACATCTGAAGTACATACAAGGTACCATTAAATGTTAAGGGTCATGTTTTGGTTATCCAAGACTCTCCCAAGAAGGGGAGAGGATGGACGAAGAAGTGACGAAGTTTATGTGATGAAATCTTAGGGGGTTCAATGCTCCTGAGAAACATAGGTATGTTAATGAAAAATTTAAAGAATAATATAGATTTGTTTTCTATTTTAGAAACTCGAGTAGCGCCTAGCAATGCGGTTGATAAAGTACAATGTGTGTTTGGTAGTTGGATTCACTTTAATAACTATAAGTTTTCTAGTCCTAGTCGTGTCTAGTTATTCCAGAAGCCTGATTTGAAGGTTCATGAAGTTGCAATGGATGAAAATTTTATTCAAAGGAAGATTGTGTGGTTACTGCAATTTGAAGTCCAAACAAGTCTCAGGAGAGGGCACAGTTGTATGCTAGTTTGCTACTTTGGTGTGTTGCTGGAGAAAATGGAGCCTTAATGGGAGATTTACATGTTGTTGCAGCCGTGTCAGAAGCCTCTAATTTGAAAGTTTTAAACTAGAGTTGTTTAAATATTACACAATGGATTAATGATATTAAGTTAATTGATCATAAAACTAGAGGTTTCTAGCTCACTTGTTGGAACAAGCAATCTGCTATTCCAATTGCTAAGGAGTTGGATAGGTTTTTGGTGAATGGTGAATATCTGGATAGGTTTCCTTATATGGCGACTCTTACTCTTTCCCTGGAGTTTTGGATCATTGTGGGTTATATAATAATGGATGTATAAATTTCAGTAGACTATATCCTAAAACGTTTAGGTATTTCAAGCTTTGGAGACAAAATCCAAGCTTGAAAGGCTTTGTGTTAGAATCATGGGATGAAGAAACTACTCAGTTAGCTTCATTGATAAAAGAGGAGACCGTAA